CCAAAGCCATTAAAGGCCTGTACCTGCCTCCTATGACTCCTACATGCCTGGTTACTATGGTTTCGAGGTCAGACCTTGAATAGCTTGGCCCAGACTTTGTTTCATTCGAGTTCCATGGCTGTCTCCGACCTTGCTCCGGCCAGCCATAGCTGTTCAAGCCTGATCTTGACTTCTCCTGCTTAGACCAATGACTTTGTTGATATTTTTGCCTGATTCTCTTTGTTGATTTTTTTGCCTGATTCTCTTGTCTTTCATCTCCATACTCGATTGATGGTGAAAACCCCAAAATTTGGGGTTCATTCGAGTTTTGAGACTGTTTGCTATGCGATTTGCTTGTTCCTCATCTCTGAATTTGTTTGATTTCGAAGCCCTAATTCCTTTGGACCTATTCGAGCTTCTGAAAACTGCTTCGTCTATTTGAAGTTGCTCGACTGGATTCAAAGTCCTGGTTTCAACTAAGGGTGAATGCAATATTGGTTTGTTTAGAGATCGTCATGTTTTGATCAGATTTACTTTACTTGAAGATTTTGCAAATTTTACGTCTAAAGGAGAATATTATTTGAAGGCTAAGGATGGATATCAATATCAAGTACGTCCATTGATATATGATACCAAGTTTAAAGTCGAGGAAGAGACATCTAAGGTGATGGCATGGATTTCTTTTCCAAACTTGTTGCCCACGTATTTTGTAAAGGAGTGCTTGTTTTCTTTGGCTTCAGCAGTAGGAACTCCTTTGCATTTAGATTTGGCCACTGTCAACAAGACTAGGCCAAGTTGTGCTAGAGTTAAGGTATTGGTGGATTTACTTGAGGATTTGCCAAAAAGAGTTCGTATGGATATAGAAGATGAAGCTGCAGGTACTGTCAGAACTGAATGGGTAAAGATACAATATGATTATATACCTAAATACTGTAAGGAATGCAAGTTGCAAGGACATAATGAAGAATCATGTTGGAGACAACATCCAGAACTTTTTGTGGCGCCTGGTAGGGAGAAGCCACCTACTGATACAAGAGGTAAT